GGTTAATACATTATTTGGTGGAGTTGATTAAGTCAGCAAAGACCAGTTAGAAATGTATGACATGTGAATTAAAAGATTTAGCCATCTCATCGCTTCTTCAACGAAAGTGGTACTATCTTGAATCAAGCAAACCAATAAAAATGATCTTGAAACTCACACTTACTAATCCTTTTTATTTTTATTCTGTGCAAGAATTTATAGTAACAAAATTTGTTGAATGAAGGCTATCCATGTTTCCTTTAGCATTTTTTTTTCTTTAAAATTATTTTTTCCTTATATGAGCAGTTTGCTTGCTCTAAACTATGATGCCTACAAAATGCCACAAAACCATAAAGGCTTTGGACCTGAGGTCCGTAAGCAACAGCCCAGGTCCCAGAGAGGGGGGTGTGAGAGCAAGGACAAGCCTAAGAAGGGACTGAAGCTCAAGGCTGCGGGGAGCTTGAAGCACATCGAAGCACAGAAGATAGATCCCTGAGGATTTACTCAAATATAAAAGTGAATCATCTTACCTCCGCTGACATACTGACATCCAAACTGAAATGAAATCAAATGTTATGTACGGATGAAAAAATCGAGAAGACTTACGGAGACAGCCCTGTTACAGAAACTGGGTAGGCCTGTGAAGAACTGCACCTGTGCTGAGGTGGAAAATGGCGCCCACGCAGCCCTCCTCCGCGCCCGGGACCGGTGCGGAGCGCCTCCGACTAGCCAGAGGTTGTAAGCAAGGTCAGGCCAAACCAGTCCTGCATCTGCTGTGCTGCTGCGGGTGGCTGTGTCCGAGGGGGTTACCTCCTGGCTCGTGCTGGGCCCTTTCTGGTTTCTGGACAGGCTCCGCTGCTAGTATGGGCCTGTGGTTCAGCAATAAGGTCCCATCCCTCCTCTTCTCTGTGGGATCTTGGTGTCCCGTCAGGCCGGTTCCTCTGGAGTGACAAACACACAGCGGCCTGAGGTTCGCGTTCATGTTCTGGCGCTCAGAGTGGTGGGCCTAGGATCCTAAACTCCAAGCAGCAGCATGGCGGTTTAAACAGGCCTCTCCCTCACAGCGGCCACTACCCACGTGGCTTACTGGCAGTTCTTTAGGTGTTTTCTGTCCTTAGGGTTCTGTCCTGACAGCCACAAATCTGGAGAGAAGGTCTCTGCTCGAGGCTGTGTCTTCCTTAAGTTGGTTAAAGCTCAGATAGCTAAAGACTATGCAGTCTAGCTTGGAGACAGTTTCTCGTTGTGTTATGGTATTCTCCTTTGCAGCCAGCAGGCCCAGCACAGCAGTCAGATGTTATATTTTTTGTTCTCAAAAGTAGTTGTTTTGAAAGGCTATGAAGTAGTTAAGGCTTAATTATTTTTTAAAAAAGGAGTACTTCCAATAATTCCCTAAAATTGATCAGTGTGCTATAGAAGATTAGTATTCATTCTAAAGTATCCGAGCTAGTAACTAACTGTAAGGCAAAATCCCATTAACTGCTTCACTTGGGGTTAATCTAATAGTAATAATCATATGTCCAGTGAAAACTTTAGACACTTTGGAAGTATTGTTTTGAAGTAACTGATACTTCCAGAGAGGAATTTTTGAGATCTGTTCGTCCACTGCACAATTTAATTGATGAAATTATAGGATGTTGAAATGTGATGATTTTTGCCTATTGTAGGTTAACAGATGAGTCTAGACACCAGTTCTCAACCTTGTTTACTGTGATCCTGGAGGAAAGGGTCTAATATATGCATCTCACTGATTTATACAAGGGATGTAATAAACTTCTGATAAACTTCAGACCTCCTCATAGAGGGGATCGATGAAAGCTAAGCTTATAACTATGAGAAAGGTTGCTATTTCTGCTGCTACAAAGAGGCTTGAGCCTGTAAACTCAGCCCTCAGAACCAGGTGAGTCCCCTCAAAGGACTGGGGCATTAAGAAAATGCCCTCCAGGCTTGTCTTCTGAGGGAATTTTCTCAGTTGAGGTTGCCTCCTCTCAGATGACTGAAGCTTGTGTCAAGAAGACATAAAAGCATCCGGCACAGTAACTGGGTCAGAGGTACCAAGTGCTGACGGTGATGATGGAAGGTTTTAATGGGACCTGGGGAAAGGGAGGCTTCCAAACATTCAGCGCTTGCTTTAGAAATCCTTAATGGATTATGTTTTATGTTCTTTGTTTCCCACATAGAAACAACTGTCCCATTTTTGACAAAGAAGTACATGTTCTCTGTAGACTTGGAAATGTCGTGTTTTTTAATGGTGGCTGGTTCCTTTCCCCTTGAGTTTTGGTCTTCTGTCATACATGCTGAGGTCACAACATTTCCATCAGAGCTCTAAGTGGAGACTGTCTATGGACACTGAAAACTGAAGCACAGAGCATGTGCTTGTATTAGGAGCATACTTAGAAGTAGACTCTTAATGATACGAGCAAGCGCCTAACGGAGTCCCAGTTGACTTTGAGTGCTTCCCAGTGGCCCTGAATTTGTGGAAGATAATGAAGAATGGAACATTCTTTTTGAAGGGTAAATTTGAAATATGATCTGAAATAAGTTCATTCTGCAAGAGGACACACAAGAAAAGAGTTTATGTGTTAGCTCTCTTACCCTGTGGAGGTCCGTTTCTCTGGAATCTTCACGTTTGGCATTTATACCATTTGTTCATGTTATACTAAGCCACATCAGGCAACTGATATTTATGGGGTGTGTTCTCTGGAGTCAATTCCATGCTAAAAGAATTTTCCATAGGAAAGATTATAGAACCGAACAGCAAAGATAAATCACATCACTTAAGGCAAAAATTTGATGCGCGCATATAGATGACCTGTATGTTGCTAATTTCTTAAGCAAAAATAATCTTCCCTGGGCGCTCAATTTCAACAATGTAATCTGGGAAGATAATGGCTTGTACTTTGTTGGCGCCTTTCCCCCTTCACATCGGCTGCAGCTAATTGCGTCTTAATTTCTAAGTTTCATGGATAGTTTAAAAGTTAATACAGAACAGTTTTGCAGTATCAAGTTAACAGGCCTTAGTTCTTTAAGTGATAAATTTAACATTTTAGAACGTTTACAGCACCCCCTGCTGGCTATGTTGTGGAAATTCCTAAGTTAAGTGTTCTTCAGGTACTCCTTGGCTATATGAAGTACACACAGTTTTTCTTTTTGGAGTTATTTTTCCTTAGAAATATTTTGCTTAAACTGAGGTTATAGGGTTAAAATTTTAACTGAAGATAATTTTCATTCTAATTTGTCAATTGGGTTTTGAATGGTACTTATTTTCCCGGGCACTATAATAACGTACTTGTTGGAGAAAAATATTTGCCAGATATATTAAAAATGGTATTTCTAATCAAATTAGAGAAGAAATATCTTTGCAAATACCTATGTTTGATTGTACATGTTTTTAACCATGAACGTCCTTTCACACAAGTCACTAGTTTATTTTATGCTAAGTGCAAACCTCACAGGATTTATGAAGCTTGAGTCTCATTGAAGAACAGTTAGAGGAGATGGAGTTAGAGCTACACCAGTCCTAAGGACAGAAATCACAAAATTTGACTGACCATGTTTCGGGCCAAGATCTGGAGTCATAGTGTTCATGACCCTTCTAATGGACTTTTTTTTTTGGACCACAAATAATAACTAAAGGAAACATAATTTTCTAGTTAGTGTCATATGAAATGATAGCTATCAAATCTGAGTTTTCTCTTAAGGACAGAATTCAGACATGTTGCATTAAGCTAAGTTAAATGACAAAATTTTAGGACCATTTTAAACTGGGTAAATGTAAAATGAGATAGTGGCTTACTTTAAAGATAAATTCATCTTTTACATGACAATGTACACACATCCCTTTGTAAGTGTGTACTTGCTTTACTACTTCAGCAGTCAACTAAAGGGATCATACAGAATGGTACTTTATATTTTATTACATGCAGAGTGTCAGAATAGTGGTTTTCATGTCTCCTCCACTGGTAAAGCAATGACTGCTGGGTAGATGGATGTGTGGGTGGGTGGAGGGATGGGTGGAGGAATGGCTGTTGGATGAACAGGCCTGCTGTAGAATCCTCATGAATCATCATCTGGCCTTTAAGGTCCCTTGGATTACTGCCATGGTTGTGATTGTACACATTAGTGGGTGTGTCCTTTGAGGACTGATGTTTTGACTTTGGTTAAGTGAGTTTTATTTTCTAACAAAACTATTTATCCAAAGAGATCTAGTATTATGAAATATTAGAAAGTCTTCATAGGATGTTTGAAAACAATCGTAGTTTATTAATCACATGCTTAATATAACATGGCCTTAAGCCTATTGATGAACTTCTCTAAGTTAAAGCCCTGCGGTCCTAGTTTCTGTGGTCCTTATAACAAGAAGATATAATTTTAGTAATTCACATTGTGACATTAGAGCTCTATATGTATTTCAGTATAAGTAAAAGATGTAAAAATGCTCCAAAATGATTTATTTTCATAGAACTTCTTCCAGCAATTGTGGTAACATTAATTTTCTTATCCCTTCCTGGAAAAGCAATATTAATCTAGTGAGTTATCTCCTAATAAAATTTGCCATCAACCTTAATGGGCAAAGTCTAGTGCTCTCGGTGTTACATATGATGTAGAGAGGTAGTTGGTCAAGGATAATGTCATTGAGAGAGGTGTGCTAGAGCGACAGAAAGTAGTCCCACCTGTACATGTGCCTTTTACCTTTATTGTTGCAAGTGCATTTATAAAATCTGCTCAAATCTCTTAGAACAACCACACAAAGTTACACAGTAGCTGATGTTGGCATGCACTATCATTTGAAAAATGAGGAAACGTGAGCCTAGAGATTAGGTGACGTTTCCTCTGTCCCAGTGCCTGAGAAGTCTCAGGTGCCTGATTAATCTTCAGGGCTGTGTTTTGTTTTTCAACTTCCTACATAAAGGATGGAGAACCACATATTCTTTATCAAATGGTCAGGAAGGGTGTTTTACTGAATTAATTAGCTCCTAATATCATTGGACTTACATGTCATTTCATATTCCCCTTTGTTACAGAATGCAAAGTATGGCGAAATCCACTGAACCTGTTTAGGGGTGCGGAATACAATCGGTAAGTCTTGCCAGTTCAGGAAATGAATGAGCGGTTTAGAGAGCAAGGACAGCAAGTGCTGCCACTGGTTCATTTAGGGGTCACGGAATAGTGTGTGTTACCTTCCCCCCTCCTCCCTTCTTCTCCCTCACCCTTCCCTATCCTTCCTCCTCTTCCATTTCTTCTCCCTTTCTTCCTCCTCTTCCTCTTTTTTTTTCTTCTGTTTGAGACAGGGTTTCTTAATCCAGAATTTGCTTTGTAGCTGGGTACCTTTGCTCCTGATCCTCTTGCCTCACAAGTGAGTCCTGGGATTACAGCATGTCACCATGGCCAACAGCTTCCAGGTTTGGGGATACAATCTTCAAGTGTTTTGATTTTTATGTTTTATAGATATTTTGGCATTCTAGTTTGGAATAATATATAAAATTATAGGTTGCAAGTGTTTTCTATTGTACTTACTCTTTAAAAAAATTATTAATGAATGTGTATGTATGTTGCATGTAGTACTAAGAGAATAACTTGTGGGGATTATTCTCCCCTTCCATTGTGTGGGATCTAGACCTTGAACTTGAGTTTTTAGGCTTGGTTGCAGATAGCCCATTTGCTGAGCTACCTCACTGCCTTCTGTTGAAGTTATTCTTTTCAATATATATCACTCAGACCCTGGATTCTGAAGGCTCTGTAACTTTATTATATGGATCCCAGAGAAGTTATATTGCAATTTAATTGAGTGAAATAATTAGGCAAATTAGAAATTCATAGTATGGGGGAAATATTTATTTGTAATATTAGGGGAGTTTTCCATTAGTGAGGACTATTAAAATGTTAAGGCAAAACCAAGAGAATATGTGAATTTTGTGCTATATAATTCCCGAAGGAAGAACAGGATGACTTTTTTGAGATTTTTTTTTATGTGTTTGGTTAGTTTACCTGCATATGTGTCTGTATACCATGTGCATGCAATGCCAAGGGAGACCAGAAGACAGCATTTGATTCCCCTTAGAGCTGGAGTTACAGACACTTGTTAGCTGTCATGTAGTTGCTGGGAATCCAACAGGAGTCCTCTGGAAGAGCAGTCAGTGATCTTTCCCACTGAACCATCTTTGTAGGCCAGGGCAGGATATTTTTAAAAACTATGTTTTGGTGTTCATGAACAAAGGTATTTTAATGCTGAGTGGTGGTTTACATTTCAATCTCTCTGCACCTTCCTCCTTCGTAGGTCGTTTTCCCTTCTCTGTCTGACTATCATATTTGCCCCTGACAGGTACACTTGGGTCACAGGACGAGAGCCTCTGACATACTATGACATGAACCTCTCTGCCCAGGACCACCAGACGTTCTTTACTTGTGATTCGGACCATCTTCGTCCTGCAGATGCAAGTATGGAAACTCTTCAGATACTTAAGGGTGGGAAAGCCTTTCAGCTTGTTCCAAATCATGGTTCTGATTCCATCGTGTCTGCTCTACCGCTTTGTTTTGCGGCACACATCTGTAATCTCAATACTCAGGAGGCGTGGCTGGAAGACATCTAATTTAAGACCAGCTTGAACTATGTAGCAAGTTGCAGGCCAACCTGGCTGTATAAGAAGAACAAGGAGGGCTAGGAAGATAGACCAGGGGGTAAAGTTCTTGTCATGTAGGCATGAGGACCCGATTTTGATTCCTTAAGCCCCTGTAAACAGAAACAAAACCCAGATTAGGTAGCACATTTTTTTAATTCTGTCTCTGAGCAGGCAAAAACAAGTGGATCTCTAGGGCTTGCTGGCTAGTCAGGTTAAACTATGTGGCATGTCCCAAGGGGGGAAGAAAAAGAAAGGCAAGAGAAGGACTGACATGAGGTTACCCTTTGGACTATACATTCACACACACACCTCTCTACAATGGATAGAATATTAAATTGACTAATAAAACTAAGAATTCATAAAGAATACTTATATAAAATTTATTCACAATGATTATCAATGTATAAATGAGGCTTATTATTATCTAGAATATGATTTTTAAACATCAAAGTAAGCTCTATGTGTTTTGAAGACACACATCTTACACAAAGTGTTAAACTTCAAGGGTGAGGTGGAATAAGGGTCTCCTCAATCACATTCTGATTAGAAGCTGGGATTTGGGGAATGGGGTAGGTGGGGGTGGCACACACCTTTAATCCCAGCACTCAGGAAGCAGACACAGGCAGATCCCTGAGTTCGAGTCCAGCCTGATCTACAGAGTGAGTTCCAGGCCAACCAGAGCTACCCAGAGAAACTGTATCTCAAGTTGAGATTTATTGACTATAAATGACCACCCTACATTACTGTCTTAAGATATTGGTTTACTAGCATTGGAAGGGCACATGGCTTTGGCTATAAGAGGGCATATGTACTTTCTCTCTGGCAGACCTTATTTAGCATTCATTTTACACTCATTACTTTGCTGTTGGTAAATTTTGTATTATTAAATGGATCAAAAGTAAATCTGAAAATCCTGTCGTAATTAGGATTACATTATTATATTGAAACACCACAACTAAACGCAACTGGGGGATAAGAAAGGCTTTATTTACTTGGCTTACATATCCTGAATCACAGTCCATTGAGGAAAGCTGAGGCAGGAACTCAGACTAGGCTAGGACCTGGAGGCAGGAGCCAATGCAGAAGCTGTAGAGAGGTACTGCTTACTTGCTTGCCTCCCATGGCTTGCTCAGCCTGCTGTCTTATAGAGAGAGCTAGGAGCACCAGTCCAGGGTTAATACCACCCGCCCCTGTCAGTACTAAGAAAATGCCCCAAAGGCTTGCATTGCCTGATTTTAGAGACACACATTTTCAACTGAGAGTTCTTCTTCCCAAATTACTCTAGGTGATGTCAAGTTGACATAAAACTAGACAGGACAATACCTTTACAAAAACAATTTATACATACATTTAAGAAATTAACTTATAAAAATATGAATTATCACCTGGGCAGTGGTGGTACACGTCTTTAATCCCAGCACTTGGGAGGCAGAGGCAGGTGGATTTCTGAGTTCGAGACCAGCCTGGTCTACAGAGTGAGTTCCAGGACAGCCAGGGCTACACAGAGAAACCCTGTCTCAAAAAAAAAAATATGAATTATCAAATTATTTAAGGGTATTGTTATTTTTAAAGTCCTTGCTGCTATTATAGAATATCATACTATGATTAATATTCCTGGGCACTAGGCTTCTCTCAGTATATTCACAAGTTGCTCTGATACATAACAAGACTAAATTTTCAGGAAAATGGAGTCAACAAATATTCATGTCAACCAGAAAAATCTATGGCAGCTCACTTTCTCTACATAGTTTAAACTTTCAAATATCCTGCACTTGTAGCAAATATTTTGGAACATGTTAAATAGGAATTATATGTTATATAATGAATAAGGCTCTGAGAGTCACTCCAGATGGGAACAGGCACATTCAGGATGGTCTGACCATAAAATAGAAATTTCAAAATATACGAAATATGTTTTCGTAAAAATACAGCAAGTATTTATTAAACACAAAAGATATGAATTCTCTATTATAGCTCATTTTCTTGACTTTTTAGTGTATGATATTTATGCCTATAATGTAATCCTCACACAAAAAGTTTGTTATTGGCAGCTCAAGAACAGTGAAATAGCAATTCAGAATACTTGTGTGACTTTGGGGATATGAGTTGACTTCCTTAGTAATAAAATGTTACAATTAATGCTGCCAACTGCTTACTGCCCTCAGCTAGACCTCACAATTATATGTAGTAGGTGACTTGAATTATTCCCCTTTTTTTCTAACTAGTAATGCAAAAAGCCTGGAGAGAGAGGAACCCTCAAGCCAGGATTTCTGCAGCTCATGAAGCCTTGGAGATAAATGAGTAAGTAGGGGAGAAACTTGCTATAAGGAGGAAGACACATGTCATGCCGGGTATTTTCAGTCACCCACCATTGATGGGATACTTCTGTCATGCTGTGCATATGAATGCGGGCTGTTTCCAAGGGTGTTACTTTCTAAAGTTTTGTTTCTATGAAGAATCACTCTGTGTGTGTGTGTGTGCGTGCGTGTGTGGGTGTGTGTGTTGGAGCAAAGTTCAGTGTGTTTACTGTGAGCCCAGATTAAACCCTTCAAGGGATATCCTTGGCATATTATGAGAACATGAGCTAAGTACAGTTCTTGGGAGCTCTAGAACATTTTCACAGCAACCCTCCTTTCTAGATGTGGAATGCTCATCTGTGCATCCAGCTTCTAGATGTAACTTGAGCTAGTGGAAGAAACAGCAACCTCAAAAAAGATAAATGACGAGGAAAAGCTAAAATGTCAATGTGGAAGATGACAAAAAGAGGAAACACTGTCCTTTCTGTTGGTAAACATTCTATGGGTTACCAAGGAAGGCTGGGAAATCCTTCTGGAGATCTCAGAAAAATGAGGTTCTTAAGATCGGAGTCATTAAAACCTAGGGTTGGCAGAAACCTTAAAGGTCACTTAGCTTAACCACCCATATGCTGCTTGAATCACCTCAATAGGGCCCCGGCCAAATGGTCATTGTTAAACTATTTTATGACTTTTCTTAAGAAGCTTACTGAATCTTCTCCAGAGGGGTCTTGGAAATAAAAAAAGAGTCACTGAGTTTCAAATCCTGTCACCGTAATGCTGAATCTGCTCGGTCTCCAACTGTCATGTGACATGCTTTTCACTTGCCTGTCCTCCACAAGTTTAATATGCCTGCTCTGTGTGTGTGTGTGTGTGTGTGTGTGTGTGAGATATTTCTGAGAAAAGGATCAGGGCCCACAGCAAAACTCTGGGCCTGGCATATAGAGACTACCCTGCAAGCTCATGTCTTCATGGATCACATTTCTTTGATTTTATTCAACCAGTTACCAGGCGCCCAGTTACCCTGTGATTCAATCCATATTTCTCCAATTTGATCTTAAGAGTGCCAGGTGTATAGAGAGTTTTAATTGATAGTAAGTCTATTAGGGAAAATGAAGCTAGCAATCCTGTGTTATTTATTCTCAGCCATTTAAGCTGGCTTCTAGTGGTTTCTGCTTCGTTTTTATTTTATTTTATTTTATTTTATTTTTTTAATGTGCTTAGAGACCATTTCTTTAATAATCCACTGGAGTTTCTTTCTGAATCACTGTTCTGTCATTTGGAAGGTCAGCCTTTTTTCCCGTTTTGAAAATGTATGCCACATGTGTCCTCTCATCTTGTAGTTTCTATTCTTTGTGATTCCACAACTCTCCAAAGAGTGCAGTTCCATGTCCTGCCTGCAAGGTCTGTTGGTTTACTAGGGTCTGCCCTTCCCAGAAGAGTAGTTCATTTAGAATGCATTACTGATGTGCTGTCTTGCATCTCTGTACCCATTGTAGAGTTTAATTTCTTCTTTCCTTTTTAGTCTGACAGTCATTCTCCTTGATAAAGAAGCCAGGAGTAAGAAGCGATAACAGACTTTTCTTTTCTCTTTATTATCTACCACTGTTAACCATAAACCTTCTTTTGTTTTAATGTTGTTGTATTGTTTTGTTTTGTTTTTTCTTAAGGCTTGTATTTTTTTGTGGTGATTTTGGAGAAATTGGGAAGGGGGAGCCATAGGACCTTAAAAATAATTCCAGATAGAGGATGGATAGTTGTCCTTGGGGGGGGGGTGTTATGTTTTTTCCTTTTATTGATTTATGTTTGCCAACCCTTGCTAATTTGTAACTTGAGCTCTCCTTGTATCATTCTTATGAACCATCCCACTCCTCACAGTTCGTCCCAGCCCCCTTCTCATCTTTTGTTTTGTTTGCATGTCTTAAGAATGTGACCTGGGCCAGATCTCCTTGAAGTCATGCTGGTTACTGCAGTGCCACCCCTGTAGCCTCCCAGAGAGATTATTTGTCATCATGATTACAGTTGGATATGTGGAAGCTGTTCTGTTGTCTTGAGCCGTTTTCCATATACATCTCATGCCACTGAGTCATGCCTCTTTGCTGTGAATTCTCTACCTCCTCCTCTTTGACTGCCCTGAACTCTGGAATGACGTAGTAACTCTCGCTGAATGTTCCTATCAGTTTTCATTTCACCGACTATTTTTTTCTTCTTGGTCAGAATTAGGTCCAGAGTTGAAGTTCCCCTAATTGCTTCCTCTACCATCTGGGAGATAAAATTGTTACCAAAGTAAGTCAAGAAGCTGTCGGGCACCCTACTTCTAACCAAATGAGACTTATAGCAGATACCTGGATGGTTGACACTCCATCACCACACTTCTTGCTTCTGTGTGTGTATTGTGTTGTGACAAAGATGCATCATATCCATCTTCCACCAAGCCGAGACCCCTGTTCTGACCCCGTCCATTAGCAGTTCTCTCTCTCTCTCTCTCTCTCTCTCTCTCTCTCTCTCTCTCTCTCT